GGTGCTCGAGTTCCTGAAAGCCGCCTCGCTCACCAGTCCTTCACCTTGGCTCAAGAGAGCTCGCCATTACAAGGAGATCCCGCCCTTTTGTTTGGCCCGTCGTCGTACGCGCGCGCGTTCTCTTTTCGCGCGTACGTGCCCTCGCGACGCGTCGAAAGATCGTCGCCTCGTCCCTGGGGCAATTAACGCTTTCTCCTCTCTTTTTCCTCGTTTCCTTCCTCCTTTCCTAACCCTTCCGTTAAGGGTTCGTGGAAATGAACTATAAACGACGGCAGGAACGAGTATCGACTGTGCGCCATCGCGGCACTTCCGCCCTTTTTCCAGCGCGGAACGAGGTCCCAGAAGCCTCTACATACCCGCTGGAGGTTTCGCTGGGTTCGTGGCTTTAACGTAACTGAGATATTATTTTTCCTTTTTATTTTTGCCTGAGATCGTGAATGGTCGTTGATTGGCTATAGAATTTTGTATGTTTTTAGGGGAGAGATGTAGCATGATTTAGTGCGAATAAGGGGGTGTGTAGTGCGTTGGAGATGAAGCGTGAGTCGGTTTAAAAGTGGATTATTTCATTTTTCGGATACAAGAAAAGAACGGTGTATGTTGAAAATTCATTTTACATTGACAAAATGGACGAACCTACGAAAGATCCCGATGATCGACCAAGACGAAGTTCGCAGGGAAACTTTTGCTTCGGCTATTTATTAGTTTCCAAGGTATTGATCAGATTTTTATTTTATAAAATTGTGGATTGCGAGCGATGCGGAAAATTTGTAATAAGCTAATAGAAATGAGAAATCGAGGAAAATCTTTTAAATACAAAGTGGTACGATTATTCTTTGCTACGACATACACAGATTCGACTTGATAATTAGAAAAATTAGAGAAACGTTTGATTTATGGTAATCTCGTGCATCTTGAAACATTCTAGGTATAATCTTAGTCTTATAATAAACGTGGTTGAAATTATCGAATCAAAAAATGCTTGATTGTAAAAAAGAAATTAATTCCTAAATATAACAATAACAAAATTGATTTAATGGCATGATGGTCAGAAAAGAAATAAAATAAATAATTACGAAATAAATTAAGCTGGATCTAGCTTTGAATAAATAATTTCATAGGCACGAATATATGATATGAAATAGATTAAACAGTGGACGCGGTATCTCACCTAAATCGTTCGCTTCTGTGCTAATTGTATGCATCAGATTCATCTGTTATTAGTCGGGATATATAATAATGACAACTTTGAGTTCGCTAGTGTAATTACCGGTGCGATATGCAACGTACAATCGTAACTTGTTGAATATATGACGCAGAAAGTATTATAGATAATGGTACAGCGTTTGAAATTTCTAGATTTATCGTTATTACGTAGATAACAGGAATTTCGTTGTAATCGTAATTAACGTTGCTTAGATTTGATCAACTTTGCTGGAGACGGTGTAAATTTATCATCGACCGGTAGCGGATGAAAAATGAAATACTCGTCGTTAAATACGAACGTAGTTGGAGCAGAGTTAAAAATAAATTTCTCCTAATTTATCGCGCAAGTGCCCGGTCATTTAATTCATTATCACGTTATACAGCATGCCACGGCCCGGCTAATAGAGCGTTTAATTAACTCAATAATCAGAGTTTTTTACTCTGGGAACTCAATTTCCGCGTTAATTTGCATTTTGAAAGCTATATATGAAGAGCTGCTCGTGCATCGTTAAATACGATCGAGTTTAACTAATAACGATGACACGGCTGTGCGTTAACCTTTCTTTTACCCCGCTATTGGAGGGTAGAAAAGAGAGAGGGAGAGAGAGAGAGAGAGAGAGAGAGAGAGAGGAAAGAGCAGTCGCGCCAACTCCGTTGTTTCTCTTCTTAATCGACCGCGTCAATAAATGCAAAACTCTATCTAGCGTGCAAAATATTCACTCTGACGGTCCGGCTCGGTCTCAAAGCTGACCCTTCAAAGGGTTGAACGGGAGAATAACAGGATGTGAACGCAATCAACGACGAATACGCGGCGTAAAAGGCGTCGGACACAATGAAGCCGTGGACACAGACGAGCTTCAATATTGTATTCCTTTGATCCCAGCCTAGGAAGGTTAATTATTAAAATAACTAATTTCCTTTATGCCGTAAAAACTGAGATTCTCGCGGTGACGTGCTGCAGTCGTTTGATTGAGTGCTGGCATGTCTGCGGATAGTCTTCTTTTCCGCAAAACAGATTATTATTGTAATAATTTTTTTAATTACCTATGACTTGGCTATTTTATTCAATTTTTTGAGACAAGGGAAATTAAGTAGTATTTAAGGAAACCTCGATTATAGCAATTTATTTAATAATTTTCGGGTGCTATTTTTCTTTATAGATTTTTTTGAAGAACAAAGATCGACTGATATCGATAGAAACTTTGGATACAAAATTTTCGTAGTAGTTTACGAATAGGCTATTTTTATACAGGTTTCTGGAAACATTGAACGTAATAATTTTTGTATCGAATAGGATATGGGTATTTTCAGCAACTGTAAAAGTAAGAAGTTCGAAGCATGTCAGTTAGTGGTCCTAGTGTTATTATCACCTCATCGCGCCGAATCATCCCTTCTTAAGAAGGATTTCTCCGAAGAGACTCGACTAAATCCAGAGTTATCATAATTCTGTCCACCCTTTCTCGTTCGTTCTATTCCCTCAATACCTTATCGACACCACACGCGGATCTTCGCTAACAGTGCCAATTAAACCGAGCTCCAATCGAACGAGCGGCCTCAGAAGGGTAGTCAGTCTACGCGTTCACGCCCTCGGTTGCCTGTTCGGTCTTGATGATAGGCAGGGCCCACGGGTAGAGTTGTTTTATTAATGAAACACGGGCTTGCGCACGGCCTTCGATTACGCTGCGGCTAATGCGGAATTTCATTTATGGGGTAACCAGCCCGGGCACAAATTTCCCAGGAATACTGGGCGCGAGCGCGCCACCGCGGAATTCGCCCGATCCACTTAGGCTCAAGATTCTTATTGCCGATGATATCGCCGCGGATTCGAGGCAGAGTGGATCGGGGGTGTTTTATAGCCTTACTCTGCTCGAGAAATTTCCACGATTCTGTCGTCATCGTCGTCAACGTCTTCGCTGCACCCTTTCCTCAACCCCGCGATTGGAGGATCCATCAGGAGACGTATGGGAGAGTATTCGAACGTCAGGTTCGATACGCTTGACGGCTGAAATGTACACACGTGTTAAATGGAAGTATTGGAAAATATTTGATACATGTAGTAAGCAAGAAATTTTTTAGGTTAAGACCGTAAAGTTTAGAAATAATTCAACGATGCGTTGGAAATACGCATCATGGTGGCGCTAGTGAGTTAAGTGGAAGGTTCTTAGATCCTCAGTATTATAAGCGACAAAAGATGACTCAACGTGGTATTGAAACTTGGTATTTTTTAATTAATGACCCTTTTGGCTTCATTCTTCAATTTTACAGGTATAATCTTGCGATGTCTTCCTTGCACACATCATTATTCTCTCAAATATTTCAGTATAATACGTATATAGCCGTATATAGATTTAATCAGAAAAGATCATTCATAAAATGTCGATTTTTGTTCATATACGTCACGATCGTTATTACATTTAACAAAAATTCTTCAAAAATACAACGATTAAACAATTTCGATTACGAATAAATATTATTATAGCCAGGATTTAATTTTGATTGATAAAAACACAACCTCGTTACATTTGTCGCCTGTAACTTTTCATTGAAATCATGGATAATTAGTATCCATGAAAGACACGAAATTGATTACAGAACATGCAAAGTACAAGAGACTATAAATGTTAAGCTACAGAAAATAATTTTAATCATTCGCAGTAATTATTCCAAACTAAAATCCTTTAAAAAGGAAGCAATTACGATGATTGAGAATAGTATTATATTCGTAAACGTTGGAATACATCTATACAGAAGCATATCTAGAGGTTAGGTTCTAAACAAACAGCCAGCCGGCAAGCTTATCCATCGTACGATAATACGAGGCCGAATTCGGGTCAATTATGGACATTAATTAATCGATTAGCCCTCGATGGTCGTCGTGGTTTCGATAAGACTCGGTTGGCGCGAGTTCCATCGGTACATCGTTGGAATTAAGACGGCATTGGAACGTCCGTAATGCCTGACGTTACTTCCAGCTATTTCCTTATGGTTTATGACTGCGTGTACCAGGCTAGGGAATTTACTCTTTTGGGGTTTGCTCCCCGAGGACAGTTTCGGTTTTGGGAAGGCAGCGCAGATTTATTGGCCGACACGACTCGCTGGCTGCGCAGCTATAGGACATGTGCTTTGAACTCTTTTTGTGACGTTTTTAGCCGACTCTTTATAAAAGACCTCGATAATGGAAACCCTATATTACTATTGACATACTTTCGCGTTCCTTTTCACTGTCGCTGTTGATATCGCGGGTTTCTTTCTGCTTTTCCCTCTTTTTTCCTTCTCCTTTTTTAAAGTTTCAAATGTTTTATTTCGAGGCTGCTGAACGGTCGTAGAAATTATCGTTGACGATGCTGACACTGAATTATTGCAATAAACTCGAGAAATGAGATTTAAACCCTTTGTCTACGACATCGTGTGAGATTCGTGGTTAGGAAATCTGGCCACACGTGACATATTGAGAGGCGTGGTTCAATGTAAACATAGCAAGCTCGGACAGGCTCGTAGTTAATTTTAGCAAATGTTTTCCTGTTTCAGTTGCGTGTTATTCTTCATCACGTTAGTACGAAATGGCTCGGTGTGCGACTAATTTTCCTGTTGATTGTGCCACGCAATATCGGAACTTAAATCGTAGGGGGTTAAGGGTAGCCCCCTTAATTTATTTAGGGTAATACTCGGTGATGAAGCTGAAATTCTTTTTTGTTTCGATATCGAAGATACCTTTATTATAACTTAATTCGTAAACGATAATCGAGAAAGCGTTTAATTTTAATTGGCTATTTAGAAAAGCTATTTAAACTATATATTTTCGAGTTACTTAATGTCTTTTCGAAGCGAATTCGACCTACTTTTGAGACGAGTGTAAGTGGATGTTATAAGGTAAGAGGTTAATAGACGATTTGACATCTTCAATGAAAATAGAATAGACTCTAACTAAATTAGTCTGACGAAATAATTATTTCATCCTTAATATTAATTATACTCACTGCATTAATTGTTAATTATCATTAAGACACATATTGATACAGCAATTATAAAATAGACTTAATTTTAACGTAAATATGAATAATATTATTCAATATAATCACTAACAAAATAATTCGAAACATTACCGCATAAAATAATTAGAGACCATACTTTATCAGTACCTCTTACTTAATTCATTTGGATCCAAATGGAACTACCCAAACTGGATCATTCTAATTTCTACGGTAATTATATCTCCAACCTATCTCTTTTTATTTTTGACTCGTCTTACGACATTTCTCGTTATTTTTCTTCCTCCATTTGCCCAATCGATATTGGATTCAGCATCCCGTTGAACCCTGCAGCCTGCGAAATCAAGATCTGGAGGATCTTTAAAACCCTGTCGTTCGATGGGAGGTTAAATGAAAAAGGAGAAAAGTGGTGGAAAAACCGGACCATGGTATTTCGAGCTGACGGGAGTTCAACGAAGTCTTTGATTAATTACCGATTAGTTTAATAATTGATGGCGCGCGTCCGCGCAGGACAATCAATTTAAATCAAAAGTGCCTGGACTGCAGCTGAACTCGCGAATCTCGTCGAGTGAGACTGGCGAAAGAGTCAATGAAACGGTTCACGTGGAAATCGTCTTTCTGAGCAGCGTGTAAAATCCCATAAATCTCCTGCTCGTGACTCAGCGTTACACAGCCGGGGTTACGCCCAGCGACCTTTTTTGCGTTTTGTGTTTCAGTTGGTTAGGGATGGGAACATCATCTTCCTATCAATTACCACGCTTTGACGAAACACAAAACGAAAGGGATCGAATCGCCCCTGTGCAGGGGATTAATTTAAACGATGCAATATGTCTAGGTGGCGTGCTTTCGCAAAGTATTATTAGAGTATTTTATTCCTTCCCTTGGAAGTTCCTTTGATCCTTTGAAACGTGGAAATTTCTGCAAATGCCGTGGGTGGTCAGAAAACTTTTTATCTTCGTTGCCTTGAGATTTGATTTGGTTCTCTGCACCTTTCTTACTGAATTTCTCACTGAATATTTACCGAACGATTTGTTTATGGTTTTTAAATGGCTATTATTTTATGTATTTATTATTTGGTTGTTCCATTTTATTATTGCTTCGTTATGATGCCATGAAAGGATGTATTCGTGACAATAAATTCGTTCGGTAATTAGTTTGCATTTCTTCATTGGGATGAAAAATTTTTCTGTAAATTATTGCTTTCCTATAATTGCAGATAAATTTACTGACCTGCAATTTTGTAGGAAAGTTATTCCAACTTACGTTGTATATTTGTATATTTGATTACAGTGAACAGATTTACTGACCCGTAATTTTGTACGAAAGTTATTTCAACTCATGTAGTGTTTTCTTTCTTGTACATTCAGAAATTTGTTTATCATTCATTGTGGAAATGGAATAAATATATTTACGTGTACTTTAAAAAAAGAATACCTTTACCTAAATGGGCAAATTTTAGTTATGTAGCTCTGATAAAAATAGGTGTACGTTAATCTTGGAGTGATTATCAGAATTTCCACTAGTAAAAATCACGAGACTTGTTCGTTCTTTTTCTTTATATACCATAATAGACCATACTGTTTCGCGGATCCGCTCGACACAAAGAAACACTGATCCCTATTGCGTTTCGTTGAGGGTCACATTTCATTTCTTGGCGTTCCAGCTTGCGCAACGGAAGTTCCATTTATTTTATTAAGAGGTCCCTATACGGGAGACATGTCCCTGAGTATCATAATACCTATTCGCAATCAGTGTTAGACAGTGCTTCAAAGTAGCAGAATTATATACTTAAAATTATTTAAAATTTCGAAATGCAAATGTCACATAAAAATGATCAAAAATATGTTTCCTTAGGTAAGACTATTAAAGGAATCTCAGTCAAAACAGGACCAAAGAATTTTTTAAATCATCTAGATTTAAATGGCATAAAAGAAAATTTGATTCCATTTCAGATTTGACATGTTTATATAATATCGATATGCCGAGAAGAAATTACAGTATTATTGTAGATTCACTTTGGTTGAAAATACATTTCTTTCGATACGATTCTTAAAGAATCAACGTTAATATGGAGCCCAAAAATTTGTTAAATTATCTAAACACGTATGGTTCCCGGGAAAATCTGGTTTCCTCTACAAATTCGATTCATTTTCTTAACGTATACAGAAGATACTATGGTACAGTATTGAATTTATTCGAAGAATCCTGATGCAACCATGAGAGGAACGCAATGTCGGATTTTCGTCTTCGTTATAGAGGGATCACTGTGCTCGTTAGGAGAAGCTTTGCTACAAGTGCTAGTTTAGCGATTAGAGAGTAGGGAGCCACGTATATACAACTACTCTCCTGTTTTCTCTATTCTTTTTTTCGTGCCCAGCGATAAGTGGTATTCTTATGTACTTAGAAAACCGAGGTCAAGGGCCATTAAGAGTTGGTGAATTTGATTTCAGGCTTCGTGAATCGGTCGGAAAAATAAACGGTGTCAGTAACAGGGTGTGCGTGAAACTGCTCGATCCAAATTATTGGGGCGATCGGAGCCTGTGATTTCTTCAAATTGCTACTTAATTGGGTACTTTACGAAATTGGAGTATACGAAACGTTTCATAAGATTCGAATGTAACCTGTGAAAACGTGAAAATGTAGAATGTACGTATGAAAGGAGGGGAAAGAAGTATCGTAATAATCGAATTTTAGCGACCGAGACTGAATTTTGCTTAAGTGTTGTTCCAAATAGTATTTAATAGCAAGTGATTACTAATTATTTCTTAAAATATATATTTCTTTTCTGTAAAATTATTCGTAGAATTAAAAATTGCAGATTCCTTTGGAAATATTTGTAATAGGGATTTTATATTTTATATCTTCTAATATATTTTCTAAATATATCTTTGTGGAAAATTATTTTCAGATATATGGATATTATAATTAATATATCAAACATATTTTTCTGTGAAATTGTTAAAAATTATAGATTTTAGTTTGAAATATTTATAATAAGAATTTTATATTTCCCATTGTAAATATTTCTTAAAATTTTCTATATTTTTCTGTCAAATTATTCACAGAATTTCGTTAAATGTTTAGTGTAATTAGTAAATCGAATAGATCAACAAGTTTAAAATTGGACGACGAGTTACAACGAAATATTCCAAATACCAAAATCAGAAATTAATATAAAACTAGCACAAATCCTAATTATTTCATCGTCAATGCTTCAATAATCCTGTAATAATAGTAACGCTAATAACACAGTTTCGGTCCAATTTTGAACTGCCCTTCCTTCTACGAATGTGGTCTATCTAGGCCAATCTAGGATCTGTCAGATAGTCATGAGTCAATTGATTTAGATGAGGAAGTTGATTCAGCAGATTAAGACAGTTTTTCCTTATACTATTTGCTATATATCAGGAACAGTAACTATATCTATAGAACCAATGAAATAACTTTTTACAACGTCCGTCTCGAATTTTAACATGTTACAGTTCCCCGTGGCGAAAATTCTATAGACACCATAAAATTTTCATTCGGATTCTTCGTGGATTTCTTCCAATTTAGATTTTAATTAAGAACGTAAGTTTGCGTAACTTTTCCTGTGTATTTAAGGAAACTTCAGGGGCTATGACTTCCTTACACGAAGGAACCATTCTACCCTTGCAGTGGCGTAGACCTTTCGCAGTATGTAGCAAGCCGGGGTCGATAATTGTTTCGTTGCCCCGTAGAAACAAGTCGTCTGGACTTTGGAAACGTTGAAATTCCGTACTCCTACGAAACATTCTTCTAATCGTGAACGCGAATGGTTATTTAAGAATACGACAGACGCTGCAGTACTATTTTTAATTTGCGACTGTAGCACACGACGTCGTTTTGCCATGGCATATGCTTGGTGTAGAATCACGAATCGAAGTAATAAATAATTTATTATAATTACGACGAGGTATTTAGAAAGTTAGAAATAATTATTAATTCGAACGAATTGACGATAATAATAATCGGAGGGTTCGTGTCAAAAACTACCCTTGGCAATTCTATCGATTTTGTAAAAGGGATATAAAATATCTTACCATCTTTAATTTGCCTTTAAACAATCGATGAATTTAAAATAATTATTAACATTTTTAAGGTGCTTGGAAAATTTAGAAATCATTATTAATTATCATAGAGTCGCAATAATAATAATAATTCAAGTGCTCGTTTCGGAGATGACTTTTGTAAATTTTTCTAATTTTTTAACAGGAAAAAATTTGTCAATTTGTACTTTACATAGTTGGCGAGTTTTTCTTACACTTTAATTTAGAAAACTCATCGTTTCTTCTAATACCGAATATATCTTGAATCCTACGATTATTATAATTTACATTATCACCGATTTACTGTGACTTCGTGATCAAAGAGAAATAACGAGAAATGAACCAAAGCAGAATTAACTACCTATGTTCAGACAGTAGTTGCACGATTAGCACGGCTAATTCGCTAATACTCGTTTATCTTTGGCAAAAGTTTTGAATCGCGATCTTCAAGATCAAACGGACTAGTAAACGAGGACACCGTGAAAAAAGCATTCGTCTACACGAACATGTTTTGCTGACAAAGTCAGCTTCTCGGCAATCTTCCTGACCTGTTCATACCTTATTAACAAGAAGACAAAGCTTACGGAGCTGACAAAGAGAGCGGGACTTAAATTAAAGTCACCAAGCACGGAGTAATTCTTTCTTTGGAACAAAGCGCGTCGTTATAGCCCTCAAAGGAGGTTTAAAGACTATTAATTCGTAAACAGATCTTGGTAATGCACAGCCGACTCGTCTTCAAAACCCACGGATCTCCCGTCACTCGTCCCATCACCGGAGACGACCTGATCTCACGACAAAAATGATCGTCGCTGAG